AATGGGACACAGAGGCTTGCAGCCCAGGAGCAATAGTCTGGACCCAGGTGTGCAGCAGGTTACCATCTAGGTGTGTGTAAATGCGCTCTGTGATACTCTCGCAAGGACAAAATCATCTAATGACACGTTTTTCAGAATGTATTCCTGTTGCTAAGTAGCGCATGATTCTGTGCTTGCCTTTCAAGTCCATGGAATATTGATACCACTGTATAGTTAGCTCTCTGATCCTGATGACAACATAGGTTAAAAGTGAAGCTGTTTTCTGAATGAAACAACCGATTGAATACTTTCATTTAAGAAAGCACGAGTTTCAAAAACATATACTAAGTTTGTACTATTCTTAGAGAATGAGGCAGAAAATCTTATGGACTTTTAGGGTCAAGGTAATAAGTCATTTCACATAAAGGGAAGCAATCAGGGTCTCTCCCCCAGCACACCGAGTCGCTGCCTCACGAGTATGACAGAACGAGTCGCTGCCTCACGAGTATGACAGAATGTCTCTGAGGGGAGGGAAGCTGGCAGGCGAGTGCTTTGCTGTGAACAGGGCTCACATGGCCTGAGAACTGGGAAGGGCAGCGATGGCCATTCCCCTAGATCACAGGAGAAGGAAGACCTGACCATGTCATCTTGCTCATCCTTGGTCCCGCCCTCTGTCTGACCACTGTCCCCCTACCTGGTCCTGACATCTGGGACAGATCCACATGCCCTTGGGAATCGTTTTCAGAGGAGGGTCTAAGCAGTCCAGATGATACACACGGGAACACGTGTCACACATCAGCAACTGACCACTTTTTCTGCAAACGCTGCAAAAATCCTCATGGATATCACCCTATGAAATTGAGAAGAGAGGTAAGAGAGAGGACAAAAAGGTAAAATGTGAATGTTAACACGCACAGTCTGGATACATATACATGTTCTAGGACAAGCAGCTGTGCCCCCTCTAACATGTTACAGGAGTATTCACAAGCCCCCACCTGCCCCATATAGCTGAGGCTCCCTGGGCAGGGGCAGTATTCTTCGTTTGAAAGCAGACTTCATGGGAAAGCTGTCGTCGTCAAGGCCCATGGTCGGCAAACTGCGGCTTGTGAGCCACATGCGGCTCTTTGGCCCCTTCAGTGTGGCTCCTCCTATGCCTTAGGAGTACCCTAACGAAGTTAATAACAATGTACCTACCTATATAGTTTAAGTTTAAAAAATTTGGCTCTCAAAAGAAATTTCAATCGTTGCACTGTTGATATTTGGCTCTGTTGACTAATGAGTTTGCCGACCACAGGGACTCTAGGCCAAAATTAACTTCAAGGGTGAGAGCTCAGCATTTGTTACATTTTGGTAAAGTCTAACCCACAAATGGGAAAGCTTGAAGACACTGAAACCCATTCAACAATGTGTTCTGAGACCAAAGATATAAACATTCGCATTACTATCAGTTTTGGAGAAAACTTAGAAGGATTGGGAAAGACAATAGGTAAGCAATGGAATTCTACTAAACTCTGCTTGCTCTGGGAGAAAAGATAATGGTGAAAGGTCAAATGGGAAAAGAGTAAGTCAGGAGCCAATTAAATTGATTAAACCGAGTTTTCTAATATGAAGATTTTAAAAGCCAAAGTAACAGCTGACAATGTTCTCCCTTAAACCAGCATTGGGCATGTGCTGGTCAACGGCCCATTCTATTCTGGAGGCTGTACCCCTCCCTGTAAAATCCTTGGCCAGGTGAGGCGAGAAGGGCCTCTGTGCGCTCTCCCGCCCACCAGTGAGTTCTCAGGTAGGGCGGCTGAAGCTTCTGAGCAGAAGGCACCCTCAGAAAAAAGCCCATCTCCTTACAACGTGGAGAGGAGAGCACTGAGAAAGAAGTACACAAGAGGCATTTTTCAGCAAGTGAATCCCCGCCCCGTCCTCTGAGCAGGACTAAGGCCGCTGAATGGATCCAGGGCAGGGAAGGCTGAGGGAGCGTCGGAGGGGAGCCAGCAAAGGCCGTGGGCCAGACCCTTTCCTGCCAATGTGTTTTTAGGTTCTAGAATCTAGACTATTTTGCCAAAAGGCTTAACTCAGAACTTGTGCACAGGAAGCAATGACTCAGAGAGCAGGTCCTCCTCCCATGAAAGACCTCCACCACTTGGGAAGCCCTTTCTCCCCAGGCCCGTGTTTCCGCTAGGAATGGAGACTTCCTCTGCCAGTTAGCAGGCTACCCAGCAGCTAGAAGATGCTGGAAAGTTGTACGATTATCAGTGTGGGTGGGTTTTAACCTTTCTGAGTAAGAAAATGTCACCTCTGGGCAGTAGAAAAGACACCCAGTGCATGTGCAAACACACTACACGAGAATGCCCGACAGTTCAACTTCCAGGCACCGAAACAGGTAAGTTTCACTCCTTGATTACCGTGACTTGCTTTTTATTCTTAGAATCAGGCTGAGAGTGCTCTTCTCCAGAGGGTTAGTTTTTCTTAAAGCTCACCCCCATGTTGTAAGTCTGCATCTTTATGAAGTTTACACAAATTTTAGGGTTTCAGAGAGTTTTTTCATGAACCATAGATAGAATTAGCAGCGATGAAGTAGATGAGACAAAGTGCACATTTCATTCAGAGGTATTTGTTGGGTAAAGAGTTCTCACTTTCCTTTTATCCTGAATAAGGAGAACATCAAGAAGTGGAAGGTGGAGAGTACATAAAATAAAACTTAACTAATTTATTTCAGTTGCTAAAGGAAAACAACAACATTGTATCCTCTTTATATAGCTCATAGCAGTAGCTCGTAATCTTTTGGTGTCAGGACCCCATTACACTCTTTTTGTTGTTGTTGTTAACTCCTCACCCAAGGATACTTTTTCCATTGATTTTTAGAGAAAGTGGAAGGGAGTGAGTGCAGGGAGGGGGAAGAGAGGGAGAGGGAGAGAGAGAGAGATGTGATAGAGACACATTGATTGGTTGCCTCCTGCACGTGCCTCAACTGGGGGCCAAGGATCCAACTTGCAACCCAGGTACATGTCTTTGACTGGGAATCGAACTCACGACCCTTGGGTGAGTGGGCTGACACTCTAACCACTGAGACATACACTCTTAAAATTACTAAAGACCTCAAAGAGCTTTCGTTTATGGGAGTTAGATACATTGATATTTACTTAGAAGTTTTAAAACATTTTAAGTTTGAAATAATTATAGAATCCAGGAAGTTACAAAAATATGTATTGGAAAATTTGAACCCCAGAACACATAGGTGCACTGCCCATTAGCCATCAGAGTGATGATATCATCATGACATGTAATATCTGGGAAACTCCACTGTTCACTCTTGAGAGAACGAGAATGAAACCGGAAGAGAGTGTTTGAGTATGATCATGAAAAGAGTTTTGATTTTATGGACCCCCCGAAAGAGTCTCAGGGACCCCCAGGCCATACTTGAGAACTCCTACCCATAGAAATGAATAGGAACTGGTAAGTCATGTATTCCATCCACACAGAACTGGTTCTCTGCTTCAACAGAAAGGAAGTCCAACGAGGTGCTGCACCAGGTCAGAAAGCTTAGGCTTTGGTGAAGGACCGAATTATTACCATAAACCAAATGGGATGTGGAAAGATGTCTGACCCACAATTCTTTGCTAGGGGCTGAGGCCATAGGTTTAAAAAAAAAAAAAAGCCCTGGTTGTATCAATTGCAACTTCATCATTTGCTAAAAAAAATTGTATAATTATGTCAACTCATCTTCCCTTCTCATAAAAGTGATGACAGTGGCAACAAGTTACATCCTGAGGATTAGCGCCCAGCCGTATCTTGTACCAAGTCCTTCTAGATGGTATTGATCTCCAGGAAATGCCTGCCTCTCAGCTGTTATTATTTAATTAATGTTGTTGGGGTTATGCCACCCAGAAGCTAATATACAGAGCCCTGTGTGTCGATTTTAATAACTGCCACTGTTGAGATATGTAAAAGTAGAAGTCAATTACATTATTTAGTGGTTTTAGAAAAGCTTCCTTTTATCTTTAGATTTCTAAGAAGAACAGTGTTTATATTTTAACACAAAACCTGGCAGAAGCTTTTAGTTTGTGATTAGAGCTGAGTGGATCCTTTCCAGAAAACCATTTTATAAACCCCCTCAGCCCAAAGTCACAAAAATAAAAACAACACTGTTTAAGGAAGAGACTTACATGCAGAACCACAGAACTCCTGGGGGACAGCCCCACCAAGAGCTGTCCACCCCTGGCCAATGCTTTAACTTCAAAGAAGTTCAGACAATTTCCCTGCCACCAAACAAGGTGGCCACAGGGATGCCTGGTGCCAGTTAACAGGAGAAGCAGAAACCTGAATCAATGACTCCTGCCAAAGGAAAGCTGGACAAACGCGGGGTCTGACAGCAAGGCTGGGTCTGAAGCCACCAGCTATGTGCACGGAAGGACGCCTGTCAAAGAACAGAACTCCTCCGTGACCTGGTCCTCCACAGATGACACTCCCTTTGTCGTTTCTGAAGTTGGACTCAGGATGTGCAGATGGTATTCTTTTGCTCTTTGGAGAGGGGCAGACTTTAGACTACTAAGAGCCTGTAATGCAAGGGATCTTGTACCAGAAGGTGGCCCTAAAGACAAGCTCTGTCATTCACGAGAGAGATGAGACATGCCAAACCTGCTTCTCCTGTCATGTCCAGGAAAGGGCAGTTCCAGCCTCCTAGCTGTTTGGGCTAAAAACTTTGGATTCACCTTTGATGTTCTTTTTCTCATACCCCATTATCCAATTCTACTGGCTTTTCAAAAAGATGCAGACTCAATCACTTTTCTCCATCTCCATTTCTACCCATTATATTAGGCCAAGTTAGCGTTGGCTCCTGATCAGACGACTGTAACAGCCTCCTCACTGATCTCCCTGCTCCCGTCCTATCCTCCCACAGTCTCGTCTCCATATTTTACACACATTGGGCCTTTTAAAATCCCAATCAATTTTGCAAACACCTTTGAATAAGAACTGCAGGCAAGAACCAGCAAAACAATGCTAAAACCACTGGGTAGCAGTTTTCTGGGGAACTGGGTATTTACAGACTCAAAGCTGAGGAAACAGGTGCCTGTGCAAGTGGAGACATTCGATGGGATCTATTTTAAGGATGAACGTTAACATCACCAACAAGGGGACAGACTGACAGCACGTGCCTCCTGCTGCGATGCACAGAGGACTCTTCACCGCTTACTTAGTGTTCCTTAGTGACCTGAGGAAACAATCGGGTCATCCAAATGGAGGGACACGCTACACAGCAACTGGCCTATCTTTCTAAACACATCAATGCCACGAAAGACAAAGAAAAGATGGGAAACTGGTCCAGAGTAAGGAGGCTAAAGAGACAAGAAATGCAAGAGTGATCTTGAATTGGATCCTGAAGAAGAAAAATGGAAGTGCCACTAAGGCAATAATCGAGACAAATTGAGAGAGCTGCGTATGAACTGTATATTGTATAATAACCTTTTATCAATATTAAATTTCCTCTATTTGGTAACTGTATTGTGGCTATATCAGAGAATATCTTTATTCTTAGGAGATAAAAACCAAAGCATTTGGGGTGAAGATTCATGATGCCTAAAATTTAACTAGTTCAGAAAAAAAAAAGTGTGGCCCTGGCAGAGTGACTCAGTTGGTGGGAATGTCATCACATACCCCAAAAGGTTGTGGGTTTGATTTCTGGTCAGAGCGGAGGACTCATCACCGCTTACTTAGTGTTCCTACAGAAACGCAGCCTCCAATCTGCTCTTGAGGAAACAATCAGGTCATCCAAATGGAGGGACACGCTACACAGCA